GGGGGAAACGCGTACCGTTCATGTCAGAATTTACACAACGGAATGAGATTTAGGGAGGTAATCCCAAATTCACTTCACACACCACCCTCCACCCCATTTACTTCCCTCTTTATTTCCCATTATTTCCCAATTACATCTCTTTAACTAGTATCAAACCCGTGCGTTGCACGGGTCATAGTTACGGTACTAAATTAAGATAATTTTTAGGAATATAAATTGGTATATAATGAAATATAGAGATTTCATTATTTTAAAGTACAAAAGTAAAAAGATTTACAAATTTCGAAAGACTTCTTTATAAACTACATTCCTCGTATAATTTGTGTGAGCATTCACTTCGTTGTATATCAGAATCTTCAAGCCATTGCGATTTATTACTCTTAAAACTGCAACATACACTTGCCCATGACTAAATACCCGTTTCCGTAACAATAATTCAACATATTTCAGATATTGTCCTGACAATAATTCAATAATTTGACTTATCTAAGTAATAATTCAACATATTAATGTATTTATTTTGGAATTTATATTTTTTAATTTTATTTTCGTATTTAAGTGGTACCATTAACTTACCCTATGATATTTATTTTCTATTTTATTTTAGCTAGATCATTTACCATTTTTACACGTATCCATGCTTGTAAATTATAGTATTAATAGTACGGAGTATTAATTTTAGAATACTTATACCATTGTTACATGTTTCCATGCTTATAGTATTAATAGTATTAATTTATAATTTTTTTATTTTTGCATTTAAATGGTACCATTTACTTAATGTACCATATTTATTTTTTAATTTATTTTATAACACTTATCATTTTTACACGTTTCCATGCTTGTAAATTGTAGTATTAATGTGTAGTTTTCTATTTTATTTTTGTATTTAAATGATATCATTTATTTACCGTACCGTATTTATTTTCTAATATATTTTAGAACACTTACCGTTTTGATATTTATTTTATTTTCTAATTTATTTAGAACACTTACCTAATTTATTTTAGACCACTTACTATTTATTTTATTTTTGTGTTTAAATGGTACGATTTTCTTATCGTGGTGACATACCGTACCGTATTTATCTTCTAATTCTCTAGTTAGAACACTTACCTTTTAAAATAAAATCATGTTTTTAAATTATAGTATTAATATTAATTTTGTAGTTTTTTTTATTTTATTTTCGTATTTAAATCGTACTAATTACTCACCAAACCACATTATTTTCTAATTTATTTTAGAATACTTATCATTTTTAGATGTATTTTATTTTCTCTTTTATTTTACAACACTTACCTAATTTATTTTAGAACACTTACCTTTTATTTTATTTTCGTTTTTAAATGGTGCCAATTGCTTACCGTACCATACCTATTTATTTTCTAATTTTCTAATTAGAACACTTGTCATTTTTAAAACGTTTCCATGCTTGTAAATTATAGTATTAAATGGCGCCTCTTTGCAATATTGCGGATCATAGACAATTTCGGAGTTCTTCGAAGCATCAAAATTATTGGCTTGCAAAATGTTCGTACCCACAGCAGTGCCCATGGCTCATTCAGGCTGCAAAATCTTCCAATTCTTCTATTTGGACCGTCAAAAAAATACAAAAGTTAATATTTATGTAGATCAGACTATTTGATAGAGAAGGATGATAAGCTTATCACGAGCGAACTCATTTGTGGAATGATCTTCTCAAAAATTACAAATGACGCAGATTAGAAGGTTACGTATATCGTTAAAGATGTATACGACTTATTTTGGGTAGCTATAACGTAAAAGATATGTTGGTTGGCCAAGTCGATTGCTATTCATGAATTGTACAGGTCATGGTAGAATTCGTATAACAAATTATAATACCCCGAAATATACCCTAAAAGTTAATAATGAGTTTGTAACGCCCCACAAACCAGCCTAATAGTTAGCCAATATTTTGAATAAATAAATATTATTCATTTATTGGGACTCATTATTTTAAAATAATAAATATTGAGATTTTGATCTCATTAGATGGACTTCAAAAGTTAATGTATTTTAATTATAAAAAGATGTTTTAAATAACGAGCCTCTCAATATTAATTAATTAAATAAATTAATTAAGGGNTATAACAAATTATAATACCCCGAAATATACCCTAAAAGTTAATAATGAGTTTGTAACGCCCCACAAACCAGCCTAATAGTTAGCCAATATTTTGAATAAATAAATATTATTCATTTATTGGGACTCATTATTTTAAAATAATAAATATTGAGATTTTGATCTCATTAGATGGACTTCAAAAGTTAATGTATTTTAATTATAAAAAGATGTTTTAAATAACGAGCCTCTCAATATTAATTAATTAAATAAATTAATTAAGGGATGGACTCGGATGTTTGAGAATAAAGTTTTCAGTAAAATAGTCTGAAGTTATAATAAATTTAGTTTTGACTGTTTATTTCCAAAAACTCATTCGGTTTTCAATTCGGGCAAGTTCGGGCGGAAAACGCGTACCGTTCATGTCAGAATTTACACAACGGAATGAGATTTAGGGAGGTAATCCCCAAATTCACTTCACACGCCACCTTCCACCCCATTTACTTCCCTCTTTATTTCCCATTATTTCCCAATTACATCTCTTTAATATATACCCCTCTCTCTCCCCATCCTCTCCACCACATTTTGGTAACCCCCAACACACAACCATCACACTCCCTCTCTCTCCCTTGGTTCGATGGACAGCAGCGACGCAGGCGGGGAACCGGAAGGGCTGGGAGAAGAAGAGGAGCAAAAGGAAGAAGTGGAAGAAAAAGGAGGAGGTGCTGATTTTGGAAGCAAACTCCTGTGAGTCCACTTTGGGCAGTATTTTGACCATCTTCAACTCACAGTTTGGTCACAATTTCTTGACCAAACTTGTAGCCTTGCGAGTCGGTGAACCACAGCCGCAAACGGTTTGTCAATTAGACGAGTAACGAAGGCGATACGGCCGTTTTACCAAAACTAGTCCAGTGGGGACGGAAAACGCGTGGTTTGCAACTTTCGCCTCAATTCTAATTTCGTTTCATCCAATCCGCTATTCGTTGAATGTGTACCGACTCTCCACAACCCCTGTAACATATTCGCGAGAAGAAACCGAAACTCAAGAAGCCGTTTGGAAGTCGGAAGGTCAATATTTTGATTAACCATTTGTTGACGTTGTTGATTTATTCAGTTCATTCTAGCTAGCGTCAAGATTATCGTATCGTATTCGAGGTATGTACACCATAGA